GCGGCGGCGACACGGGGTCGGGGTGGCGCTGGGCGGCGGCAGCTCGGGGGCGGGACAGAGAGAGAGAGAGAGAGAGAGAGAGGGGGGGGACAAAGAGATGGGTCAGCGGGCTCGTTGCCATTTTGTTAGGGCATAGTTCTTTGCTGTTTGCTAGCAGACAACAAAGAGCCTAGCTAACGGACGTTAGTTTGGCCATTTCTTTACCGTCAGCTGGCAGACGGCAAAGAAAGTGTCTGTTAGGTGGTCCTCGCTAGTGGGCCACCCACACTCTTTGTTGTCCGCTAGCTGACGGCAAAGCTTCTTTGCCGTCCGCTGGCAGACCGCAAAGAAATGGCTGACGGCAAATATGACCTTTGCCGTCAGCTCATTCTTTGCCGTCAGTTTTCTTCAAGCTGATGGCAAAGACATTCTTTGCCATCAGCCAGCGGACGACAAAGAGCTGGCTGACGGCAAAGATCCTGATTCCAATAGTGTTTCATCCTGGCGCAACCTTTTCTTCGGGCCTTGTCTCCTTACGGAAGTTTGGCTCGATCCGGAGGGCTAAAAGAAGAAAGAAGTGTTAATATATGTACATACAAAATAATTAATGCATCAAGTCAGCAGAGGCATAATATATATATACCTCGCCGGACGTTGCAAAAGTTAAGGATCCCTCCTCCGTTCGGTCACTGGAGCCGTCGTGATCTCCTTTCTCCTCCATCCAGTCACCGGAGCCGTCATGATCTCCTTCCTCCTCCATTGGATCACCGGAGCCATCATCCTCTATTTCCCGACCATCGGTGACGTTGAGAAACGACAAGGTGATATCACCTCCGTCGCGGATTATATCCCCCAACAACTCTTATTTTTCTAAGTCTCTGTCTGTAGTTTCTACAAATATTACAACATGGCAATATACAAACATGAGAGATGGATTAGTGACAAACATGGACTTAATCACAATAAGGTATCATATGCATATGAGCAATGGATTAGTGGCAAACATCATGCAAAGTTGACAAGTTTTATAACAGTCAGTTTCAGACGATCATCGAGGACTCCTCCTCCCTCGTGTCTGAGTTATCGGGGATATGCTGAATTCCCGAGAGAGTTAGGGGTGTTCTAACACGGCACTGGACGATATAGGTGAAGGGGGATAACATCCGGAAATGTTTTCCCGAAGTCTGCATTTTCGGAAAGATGAACCGGAGGGGGACGGTTCCAGGTTCGCTATGCTAGCTGCTTGTGACAGTCAGTTTCAGACGATCATCGAGGACTCCTCCTCCCTCATGTCTGATGAGTCGTCCTATCTCTCTCGATAGGATACATTGCGGACCGCCTCTCTCATGGTCGTCGAGGATT